CGGGACGACACAAGTTCAAAGTCACCCCGTGCCACTCTTCGCTCTTCCTGCAGCTCTGCAGAGCCTTGCCGACAAATCTGGAACCCAGGAAGTTGTGCAAACAGTGAGAGTTTGCCTTGGATGGTCCACATTTGTTCCATATCCAAGCCCAACACAAGAGCCAGGCTCGGTGGCCTCAGGCCTGTAATCCTGGTAGCCACAGGACCTAAAGCAGGGGGAGTTTTTGAAAGCTCAAGGCCAGCCTGGACTACACAGTAAGTTCAGGGCCAGGCTAGACTAAATGTAAGACTGTCTCAAAAAAGAAAAAAAAAAAAAAAGCCATGGCAAGCTATTTATATTTATTAATTTCACTTGTACATGTTTTCAGTGGAATGACAAAATTTTTGAGACAAGGTTTTGCCAGGTAGCCCAGGCTGGCCTCAAATGTGCCATCCTCCTGCTTCAACTTCCCAAGTGCTGGGATCACAGGTGTGTACCACTATGCTTAGTTAGGTGGTGATATTAACGTCTTTGATATGGAGACACCGCTCTTGACCCTATTTATAATATATGGACTATGCATGGAATTTCTTTTCTTCCTTTAAAAAAAAAAGTATTTCATCTATCTTTCTTCTGTGATGGCAATGGTTTTGGTAAGAGATTGTGGTCCAGGAAAAGAAACGGCTCAAGAGCGATCTTACTGGCCGTTGTTTGGGGTGGTCGGCAAAGTAAGGTCCGTACGGATGACAAGGACTCCGCTGTGGGCACTGTGAGACTCAAAATGAAGGAAGTGCTCATGTTCTTATGGACCAGTCTCCACAACAAGGAAAAAACAATGTGTGAGGCCACGAGGCTCTTGGAACTGGAACATCAAGGCAGTTGGATGCTGAGTGTCTGTAGCCCTACAGGGGGTAGGCTGGGTGAAGGGAGGTTGCCATGGGGTGAGACAGGAAGTACCCTTTGTATTTTGAATCCTAAATTCACCATAAGTGAGTCTTTTCACTTAGTGGACAAACAGTTTCTCCCCCAGGCCTGGCTCTGAGCCACACCTGGGAGGGAAGTGAGACCATCCAGGCTTGAAAGCCTCCTCCCTGCCTGGGGGTGCTGCGCTTGGATATGCAGAACCTCAGCATCCGGGGACCCCTTTCCTCTAACCTGAATGCAGTGGGCTCCGGGGCCTCCGCAGGGTGTACTCTCTCTTTCCTTCTTGTTTAACATGTCCCGAGCAGGACATACTTGGAGTACATGCTAAAAGCATATCAGATACAGACAACTCCTGTGCACGACCCTGACCATCGAAAGATCTGTGAACGGCTTGGTGTGCACCATCACGGACCTTTTTTATGTTTATAATAATACCTATCTCTCTCTGTCCATATATATTTCTTATAAATAAAAGAGGAGCATATTATAACTACTGTTCAGAAATGTGACTTTTATTCCCAACAGTTTGTGCTGAAATACACTTCCTCCCCGCCCTGTGACACCGGATCAAATCCAGAGTCTTGTGCATCTAGGCAAGTGCTCTCCTGCTGGGCAGTCTCCAGCTTCACTCCATTTCAAAACGGTTATTATTAATTTATAAAATATGTCGGGAGGTGGTGGCCCACGCCTTTAATCCCAGCACTCGGGAGGCAGAGGCAGGCAGATCTCTGAGTTCAAGGCCAGCCTGGTCTACAGAGTGATTTCCGGTACAGCCAGGACTACACAGAGAAACCCTGTCTCAGGGAAAAACAAGTATTTTGTTGTTATGTGATTTACTTACAGCTTTCCAACTTAAATTACACAACTCAGTGTGTTCACAGTTGTATAGCCATCACCACACTCAATTGCAGAGCATTTCCATCATCCACAGAGAAACTCCCTGCCCACTAATTAGCGTCTACTCCATGTCTACTTAACCACATAGCCTTAGGCAATCACTAATCTACTTTCTGTCTATAGGTCCACCTCTTTGGGGGCTGGAATGTAACTCATTTTGGTAGAGTGTTTGTCTACCATACACAAGGCCATGGGTTTGAATCCTGGCCCTGCATAAACTGGGTATGTTGATACCTGCTGCAATTCCAGCACTCGGAGGGCAGGAGGATTAGAAATCCAAGGTCATACTCAGACAGGTAGTGAGTTGAGGCCAAACTGGGTACAGGAAACTTTATCTCAAACCAATAACAACAAAAACCCAACTGCTGATTTTAGACATTTTATTTACATAAAATCATATAGGATCATTCTGTGATCTTTCAGTTAGCATAGTTTCTTCCCCTTTATAATTAACAAATGATATTCTGCTATAAGGACACATGGCATTTTACTTTTCTAGTCATAAGTTGATGAACTATTTTGATTATTACAAATAATGCTACTACGTGCAAGTTTTTGAATGTGTTTCATTACTCTGTGTGTGTGTGTGTTGAATTGCTAGTGATAATGCCACATTTAACATTTTGAGGAATCACCAAATTTCCATTTTTTTCCATTTGTACCAACAGTAACAATGGCCTTTGTGTTCTTTTTAATGACTATATAATAATGTCACACCACACAAATGTTTTGCATCTAAGTTAACAGTTCCCTATGGGCTTCTCATCATACTGCATCTCACTCATGCCAAAGTGAATATTATGGTTCTGAAGTCCCCTTAGTCCTGAAAATGCTTATCTAGGGATTCCCAGGACAAACCAACAGAAGAAAAGTGGTATTTCCTTCTATTTTTAAAATTGCTTATTGTTGATTGAATGAATGAGAGAATGCCACAAATTACATGTTAATTATGTTGGTATCCAGTCCATAAATGATTTCTCAGCCTATTTCTTTTCTGAGATAGGGTTTTGTGCAGCCTAGGGTGGCCCCGAACTCCCTATGTAGCTAAGGGTGACTTTTGAATGTCTTTTCCTCCCGCCTCCGCCCTCTGAGTGCTGGAGCTACAGATGTGCTCCGTCAGGCTGGCCCCTCTGGGCGCTGGAGCTACAGATGTGCTCCGTCAGGCTGGCCCCTCTGAGCGCTGGAGCTACAGGTGTGCTCCGTCAGGCTGGTTCCCTCCTCCCGTTTGGTCAGCAAACTATCTGGGCCATTGCTGGGCTGCACCTGCCCAGCGCCTGGTCTGGCACCGTACCTTCTCAGATGCAGGAACGAACAGGTATAGTGGTTGGGAATAAACTTTCATTTTCTGTGTGGTATGTCAGACTGGGAGCGTGAATAATGGCTCCTTGTTGGATGTGCCTCTTTTAAAAAAAAAAATCAAGTGATTATTTTTCATTTTTGGAAGTTTTCAAGGGAGCTGGGCTGTGGTGGTGCAACCTTTAATCCCAGCGCCTGGGAGGCAGAGGCAGGTGGATCTTCTGTGAGTTCAAGGCCAGCCTGGTCTACACAGTGAGTTCCAGACCAGCCAGGGTTATAAAGAGAGACCCTGTCTCAAAAAACAAACAAACAAAAAAAAAAGTGTTCAAGAGGCTGGAAAGACGGCTCAGCAGTAAGAGCACTGACTGTTCTTCCAGAGGACCTGGGTTCAATCCCCAGAACCCACATGGCAGCTCACACCTGCCTGTCACTCCAATTCCAGGGGGTCTGAGGCCCCTTTCTGGCTTCTGCAGGCACTAGGTGTGGACAAGATGCAAAGACACATGCAGGCCAAAACATCAATACACATAAGAGAGTTTTATAACTAAAAGCTTTCAAGGTGGTGACGAGTTGGGTGGAGCGGCAGCCGCTAAAGCGTGAGGATAGGCAGGTCCTCAGAACCACATCAAGCCAGAACTACTGAGCCTCTGCACTCCTGGCCCACCTGCACTGAGAAGGGACCAGCTAGTGTGGCACACACAGTGACAGACAGCAAGAGACGGAAAGTGAAGAGTAATGTCCACATGTGTGCCTGCACTCACACACACACACAGGCACACACACAGGTACATACATGCACACACACAGGCACATACACATACACAGGCACACACACACAGGCACACATGCAGAGATTTAAAATCACCTTTCAAAATACATATGTCCAAGATAAACAAACTAGTAGGTGTGGTGGCTCACACCTTTGACCTCAGGAGGCAGAGGCAGGCAGATCTTTGTGAGTTCAAGGCTAGCCTGGTCTACAGAGTGAGTTCTAGCCCATCCAGGGCTATGTAGTGAGACCCTGTCTCAAACAAACAAACAAATAAATGAATGAATAAACTGTATTTTAGGAAATCACTGTGTAGCAAAATATATGTATACAATGTATTTCATAGGATACAAAAATTATAATATCAAATACAAAGAAAAAAATGAAAGAAAAGCACACAATTGAGACTACTGTGTCAAAGAAGCGGTTGTTGAAGGGAGACAAGAAGACCCCCGAGGTGGCTATACCACGCTTCTCAGCTGCCCAATGTCTGGCCTTCGTGGGCCCTGGTTTCTCTCTTGCATGCATCTCTGTCCACGGTCCAGCATTCATGAGGAAGATGGGCTTATCGTGTTTAAATAGTGAGGAAATATCAGCCATGAGCAGGTCACCAGGGCTGGAAACACGAGCAGCT